ACACAAGCTCCCAAAGGTACATGCAGTGTGGCACACACAGAAGTCCTGGTGGACATCAGCCCTCCCAGGAAAATGGAATTTTTGTGGATTATTTTCCGTACGTAAAAATGTTCATAGAAGCTGGAGCCAATATTTTGAAGAACTGTGTTTCCTAGAGGAATTGTGCTGATCTGCAAAACTCGATTTAGGTTTGGAGATTGCTTGCATGGATGAGATGATCTTCAGAGGTCCCTTCCAGCCCCTGCCATCTGAGATTCTGCATCCAGCAGCGTTCAGGTCTGGATTTTGGGCTGGTTTTCCAGCTGCGATCTCAGGCTTCGATCCTAAACCTTCGTCTGTCCCCCCAGTACACAGAGAGGGCTGGGGGTGCTGGTTTGTGCTGGGAGCTCTCCCCAGTGGCAGCCTGGGCTCGGGCCTACCTTGTACCACAGCTCCAGGGGGTGATGCCTCACCGTGACGTGGGGACCGGCGCCACAGCCAGGACCCCCAGCGAAGGTAACCTCACCCCCACAGAGACAACATCTTCATTTGGCCAAGGAGGGTGTTCACATCCCATTTTCCGAGAGTGCCACCACCCACGTTCATGTGTCTAGGCACCCTGTGCCAAGGCCGCACTCCTCTCCGCAGAGGCCTGGTCTGGTTCCTGCGAGGGATGAGCAAATGAACCGGGTAAATGCACCACAGCAGGAGCTACCAACACATTCCCTGTTCAGAGAGCGGCTAGTTAGATTTGGAGTGTTTCGATACATGTTATTGTAAAAAGAACCAATAAAATCTATGTATTTGCTTGTGGAGAAAATTTGCAACAGTGGGATTTTTTTTTATTTATTTTTACTAAATCTCCCTGCTCTCATCATAACTAGATTGATGATTTCTGTGTTTCCCCTTGTAGGAAGATGACTAGAAGAAGTTGCCAGCTGGATTTCCCTTTTATTTAACTCCAAGTTTTAATTTAAGACAGGAGAAGTGGGGCTCAGCTTCTTATTCTATGCAATGATTTTTTGGCACGGGCCTCGGGGGTCTCTCTAACGCCGTAGCTATGCGTTCCATCTTGTTTCAATCACGTTGAGACCGAGAGGAAGGATGTCAGCGGCTGGGAACGACCAAGTGCTGATGACAAAGCCTGGAGAGAGCAGGTGAAGCCGAGCCACGTTTGTCCCACTCGGACATTGACGGTGACACGGATGCACAGCCCCGGTTTGTGACAATATTCATCTGCGTGTACGCACACACCCATAACGGGGTGCATTCAGCTGATGAGGTAATGCATAGGTGGCAGACTGAAACTTGGCGACAAGATGAAGAAATGCAGACTATTTTGTCTGTAAAAAATGTTTTTCATGGCCAACTTGCTGTACCGCTGATCTCCAGTGACATGCCTCAGCGGGTGAATTCACTGTTTAGTGCAGGATGTAATTCTAGAGCTTGAGTCCATAAATCCACAAATTAACACCTATGAATTAACATCGTTCCCATTGGACTCAGTGGTGTCTCCTGTGGGTAAAGTAAGGATTTATTGGTTCAGGTATTGAAACTTAAATGACTGAAATCTCCTTTCCTCGCCTGCCAGAGAGGCGGTGGGAATTTCCCATCGTATGCCTTCTCTTACCCTCGCATTGCTGCCTTTAAATCAAAGTTTGGCTCCATGGCTTCATTTACACCCAGAGGCAGTGGTGGAGGTAGCAGTCCACTCTGCAGGCCTGCATTAGTTGTATCGACATAATTTGCAATTTTGCAGACTTTTTCCCCACTCCTTATGTTCTGGGTGATGTCCTGGAGCGCAGGGTGGTCACATCAAACCCACTTCATGCTCTGTGTGTGAGCAACCCTGAACAAACCATCCCATATGACCAAAATCATTGTCAGGTTTGGATTTCACTCCATGAGTTTGAGAAGCACGAAGTGTAATAGAAGTTGTAAATGTAATAACATTGTATTATTGACACAAAATGTAAATGACAGGGAGCAGGACTTTGCTCTGCACCAGGGACCCAGACCCTGCTCAGCCAGGCGACCAACGCAGATGTCCCTAGACTTGCTTGGGTAGACTGGTCCCACATGGGCTTGTCGTATTTTCTGTAACTAAATTTAGCTCTAACAAAGTTGTTCTGGTCACTTTGCTATATCTCATAATCTGCTCATTTTAGCTGTTAACAAGAATTTTCAGGAATTTGAACGTTTCAACGTCTCTCTGGAGCACTGAGAAGTCTGGAGCTGGTTAAGGCATTGCACGGGCCATTGGCTGAGGTCTTCCCTTTCCCCTCTGACATCGTTAGCGTCAACACAAATTTATATTTTAGACCTACAAACCTATGGCCAGCTTTATAGCCCTCCCTGACTTTCCATCATCCGGGAATGCTTCAGCGACCGCTTTGATCTCAGCCGCTGGCCGCGTGGTGTGAGCTATCGGCACTTCCTTCTCCAGTCAACATGGCAACGTTGGAAATAAAATATTGTCACTTCAGAGCAGCGCTTTTGACCTTCCAGGGCATGGGTGCCGGGTCGGCTGCTGGACACGTGTTAGGAGCCCAGACTGGAGGAGGGCTCCAGCCCATCAGTGCTGGGAGGATCCAGGCCTCAGGAAATACTGGAGATCCTTGAGCAAAGCAAAACAAACATACGTGAACTCCCACAGGAGTCGGGCAAGGAGAGCGTGAGAGCATAAGGAAGGAATTATCAGGTTTTGTTTCACTGTCTCAAAGAGGATTTGGGGAAAACGTGGAGAGTTGGAAAAGAAATTATTTGGGATTGGTCCAGCTGGTGCTTGTTGGCCGAGGAGCAGTGGCGGTGGTGCTAGTGGGGGGACGGGGACCTATCTGGGCTGGAGGGATGGTTTGGGAAGGTGAGATCAGGGCAGCATTGTGGCACCTTGCCTTGGTGACACCATCCCTGCCACCAGAACATCACCATCACAGGCTGGTCACCTCAGGTTAATCCTGCCCCCAAGCAACATTGAGCTCGTTATTTTCCTAATTCTTGTTTCACTGTAAATGGAAATTCACTGCACTGGTGCTGCTTCAAGGTCCGTGGTGTTTCTCCCCAAAAGGTCTGATGGCGCTTTGATGGATCAGCCCTAGGGTCACCTCTCTGTGGCCACCAGCTCCAGCTCCTGCGAGGGACCGGGCAGCCCTTAGCCCTGCCCTGGCAGCATAGTGGTACCATAAAGAAACTAATTTTTTTCTCCTTCTAACTCAAATAAATGCTCATTACCACATGTTAGCATCTTACCTGTCAATATAACAAATTACAGAGCTCTGGCAGGCTGCAGAGACAAACACCAGCGACACTCGGGGTGTGCAACTTATCAAACTCCAAAGCTAAACATTTATATGACATGGTACGAGAGTCCAAACTTCGAGCCATGAACCCCACCAAACAACCACAGCAACACCTGATGGATTGTTCCAACAAGGATGGCGAAAAAACCAGGCTGTGAACTCAGAGGTGTGCGGTCGTTCGACCTCACCTCACCAGAGAGCCACAATTGGAGGCACAAACCTTGTAGAAACCATGGAGAGCAGTCTTGACGCAGCAGCACCGGCACTAGCTCTACTCAACACTTTAATCCAAATTTATTTCCCAGATCACCCCTCCTGATCCCTGTTCCCCAAACACTTTTCATAGCATCATCACATCATTGAGGATGGAAAAGCCATCCAAGATCATCAAGTCTAACGTCAACCCAACCCCACCATGGCCACTAAGCCATGTCCCCAAGTGCCACATCCACACGTGATTTGAACCCCTCCAGGGGTGGTGACTCCACCACTGCCCTGGGCAGCCCCTTGATGACCCCAAAACTCACCCAGCAAATGTGACAAAGTCAGCAAGGGAATATTTCAGAAAGCAGATTGTATTGCCATGCTCTGCAAGGAACTTCCAAAAAAAGCTGTGGGCTCCCTCTGCTACTGAGTGGAAGATACATATTACAGTAAAAACCACTACATTAAGAGAAGAAAAGATATTCACAAAAAAAATTAATTCGCCCTCTTTGAAAACAGCTTTTTGCAAAAGAAACATTTTGCTAGGTTTTAGTCAAATTGGAAAATTTAAAATTTTATTCATACTCAGCCTTGAGTGATTTCTGAGTTCATTTCTTCACTTACAGACTTCTCATTCATTTCCCCCTGCCCTCTTTTCCTTTTTTGCTTTCAGTCTTCTCTACAGTAATTCCCCAACTTTGGAATCATTTGAGAGTGACAGAGAAAAATCAAACAAACTGGGACTTTTCCACTTTTGGAGAAATTTTGGAGAGTTACAGAACAGAGAAGACAAATAATTAAAAAAAGAAAGGAAAATATTTTTTTAAAATTACATTCAGTTACAAAGGGGAGAAAAAGTAGGGAAAAGAGGGAAAAATCAAACCAGTTCAATAATTAAAATTATTTTTCAGCACTATTAAATTTCTTAAATTGCTGCATTTCAAACCTGAAAGGAGCAGCAAATTTGATTTTTTCCACAGACATATATAAACAGTAAAAGGGTAACGTATAGTGATATTAAATAAGAAGGAAAATGGTCTTTTTACAGATTAAAGTGATTGAGGAAAGCAGAAAGTCCTTACGTGCTCAAATGCTCTCGGTGGTGCCTAAAGCCACCAAGACCTTGTGCATCTCAGAAGCAACGGCTGAGGGGTTTTGGGATCCAGGTTTGTTTCTAACCACATCTCCAGGCCACGGGGCTGAAAAAATAACCCCTGCATTTTACATGTGGATGTGGAAGCTGCTTCTCCACCAGCAAATGTCCCAGTTATGGAGCACTCCCGCATGGTGACACTCCATCCCCTTGTGGTGGCACTACATCCCCTGGTAGCTGCATTCCATCCCCTGGTAGCATCATGGAGGCCGTAGATCTCTCACAAAGCTCTCCTTGGCCCCTGCCAACACACAGTCTCCCATGGCCCTGATTTGGAGGTGAAAGAGGTCTGTGGTACGGCAGTGGGATGCTGTGGTCCCAGATACATTTGGTTTGCTGGCATGGCCGTGGAGGTGCCAGCAGCCCTACAGGTAGGTGGTGGCCTCTCGGCTCTCCCGCTCTCTCGCCTGCGCCACAGCGACGTTGATGCACTGGAGCCACTCCTCAGCGTTCTTCTCATCTTTGGCCTTGAAGACGTAGGTCTTGCTGTCGGTGAAGATCTCGAAGGCCCGGGGCAGGCTGCGGTCCCTGCGCTTCTTCGCCACCACTTTAACGCTCTGCACCTTGCTGAGCTCTATGGGGCAGTCGTCGGGGTCGTCTTTCTGAAACACGGGGAAGACAAACAGAACCAAGTTCATCTGGTAGAGCTCCCACCATCTCAATAAGCAGTTGATATCTACAGAGCTGGGCTTGTAAACATTGCTCGTGTGGGCAAACGCACTGATGGGGACTTCCCAAAAGAGCCTTAGGGGAGTTAGGAACCCCCCTCCCATGCAGTGCCATGCTCCCCTACTCAACACCATTGGGTTTCATGGGGTGTCGTGGTCTACTGCACCCCAGGGCCAAGGGCCCACAAGCTCTCCCCCTCAGCATCTGCACTTTTCAGATCCAGCTCCAGCTGTTAACATGGGCTCAGATTTTCCTTTCTCTGGCTTTTACTAAAGGTGATCTTTGTTAACGGAGCCAGGCACAACTTGTGCCAATGGCGAACGCTTCCTGGATACAAAAAATCAGCCAGTCCTGGGGGGCTGAAGAAAGCTCCCTTCTCTTAAGCAGAGATAAGTTGTTCCCTTTAGCAGAGTCTCCACCCGAAAATAGAAGCAGCAACTCTTTCTGCTGGCTTTGAAAACAGAATGGGTACCTTGAGCCTGACCCAGGGATTTGAGGGAAATCACAACATTTCTCAGTGGGGAATGGAGAATATGGGATAGCTCAGTTGCAATTCTGTTTGAAAACGTATTAAGTAGGTATGTCTGGGAAATCTTAGTGTCGTCGTAAGAAACGGGATGCAGGGAACGTAAGAGAGAGTTGTACAGACGTTTCCAGAGCCACTGCTGATTCCCTGTGCATGACCATGGGACCACAGCAGCAGCCCAACCTCCCCTGCTTTCACAAACACCAGTTCAGGCTTTATGGGCAGCATTAAACTGGCTCTGCACTGAAATCTCACCTGGGACAAGCACTATGAAAATTTTAGCACAGAAAATGCAAAGCAACAATAGACTCAAGAAAAACTTTGCACCCCATGGGCCAGACCCTTGCACTTAGAAGCCTACTTAGCAAAAATGATATATTCCCTTCATTACCACACAGTGTCTGACCCCACGTTGCTGAAGAAAGTTGATTGCACCCTAGGCACATTTCTGTGAAGGAGTTTACCACAATTTTCCAGGAGTTTAGGATGTGGCTCACTTTCAGACCTCTTATATTTTGGCTTTCTCTCCTTTACCCGCTGGTTGCTTGCACAGAGTGAATATTGTCCATGTGGTTCCTCTGACAAAGGGAAGGTTCATGGTGGGGCTCCAGGAACCAGCAGGCACAGCCAGCTGGCCACCTCACAATACCTCCTCTGTGCTAGGGCTGTGTTTTTAAGCAAAAAACCACCAAACACCCACGCAGCACACAGCCCTGCTCCACGGTGCCAGAGAGGACAGGGCAGAGCTGTCTCACGCTCAGCCTGGAACGCATTGTCCGGCCTTGGAGACCAAAATGAGCACCAGATGAAGCTGGGCAGGAGCCTCTGCCACTGCGTTAGCTGGTCACAGCCTGTGGTCCTGCATCTTCTCCCCAGTAACAAGAAATAGCAAGAGAGGAAATGGCCTCAAGTTGTGCCAGGAGAGGGTTAGATTGGATATGAGGCAAAAATTTCTTCACTGAAAGAGTGGTCAAGCACTGAAAGGGGCTGTCCAGGGCAGTGGTGCAGTCACCTTCCACAGAGGGGTTCAAAAACGTGGGGATGTGGCACGTGGGGACATGGTTTAGTGGCCATGGTGGGGTTGGGTTGATGGTTGGGGTTGGGTTTCTGGTTGGACTTTATGACCTTAGAGGTCTTTTCCAACCTCAATGATACCAGCTTTTGGCACTGGTACCCAGCCAGTGAGGTGTGGGGATGGTCCTCCCACCAGTTGCCAGAGGTGTGCAGGAGCGGACCTCCTCTGGGATCTGAAAAACCTGCTTTAATTGTCCAAATGACCACTGTGAGACTTCAAGCATCCACCCTGCTGAAAGGGCTTAAAATGTTGTGTTTGGGGTCTGCTGCTAAACTGCGCAGGCTCCAGGTTGCTCCAGGCTCCAACCCAAGCAATGGTTAATGGTAGGACTTGACTCTCACATTTAGGCCAAAAATGTAGGAGTAACAGGATATAACGCACCAGCTTGAAAGACGGATTACCCTGGTGCAATGACCCTGCCACTGCCATGCTGAGCTGTAGTGATGGTACGTGTGTGGATCAAACTGTCTTCAGAATCTCAACAAAATAACTAAATATATCTAAAGCCAGTGAGCAACCCCTTGGCTGAAGCTAAACATGTGGCATATGGAGACCACGGGCAAAGCTGAGCAGTGAAAATCTCTGGGAAACAGTGTTT